TTAACCGCGCGCATGGGAATTTCTACTCACTGTATCATGACTCATCTCATCACACGTATTTAAGGCTCGCCGCCGGCTTCTCGAGGAATACCGTATAACAGGGTATTTTATTTGAATATCTTATTTATTGGAAGTACAGTAAGAGCTCATAACATAGCTGCCAACGCTAGGAGAAGTGCTGAATGTTGTCCAATAATTAAAACTCATATAATGAAAAGTTTTTGTGACAATGCGCCACAAAATAGCGATTCGAGCAGGTATATACAATATGGCTCAAATGGCTTGAACCTCATTACTGTTTCAAGGCGCACTGACGGACGTTTCATAGATGTCCAAAGGAAAGAACCTGTGCACTGAAGAATCTCCATAAAGTTAGAGAAAAATGCTCGTTTATTTCACTGAAATTTCTTTCAAAAACTGGTGACGTCGATTACGGAGCTCGCGATCCCATTCGATGAAAGGTGCCATAGTGAAGGTAGACTTCGTTGTTTCAAAGAATTGCTCCAAGTTCAACCCTGAAACATGTCAGCGAAATTGAAACAGATGTTCCACTGTATTCTTCGTTTTAATGGAATGAAATGGCTTCTCAGGTCTTGTGCCCGACAAAACAAAGTAATACCAGCCTTGTTCGCATCGATATATAGCATAAATGTTCAATCTAACATAATCAGTATGCTGCGGTGCACCAACGAATTTTCGTGAAGAGATTGAAACCTTACTCTTCGCTTAGATCATGGGACGCAGTTGTACTTATGCTTCTGAGCTTATTATCCCTACTATCAAAAGAACTTAAAATGTACAGTTCTGAAGCAATTCAGTCGCTGCATTTTATTCCAGAAGGGCAGAGGAGTGCAGTTGCAGTTCAGTTCAACTGGTGCACTATCACACGCGCATGGCCACGGGTTCGAACCCCGTATCGGTATCCGCCTGAACCAGCCGAGCCTTACATCCTTCCGGAGTCGGTACTAGACATCTAGGAGGACTGAACCTTTGCCTTGCACATCGGCTGGTCACCGCAGGCCACTTTAAGTATACGCATTCAATACGCCACTAAGAATGGAAGTCGAATGCAGTGGCATCCCTGGGATGGGATCGTTAACGCCCAAACAATTTTTCCTTTCATTTATATCAACAAAACTAAAAAGCCGCTCACCGTACTTCCGTTCGTAATCGAATGCTTGAACCACCATGTCGAATTTATCCAAGTGCTTCACAACCTTCGCTACCAAAGTTTGCTGACCTTCATACTCTCTCCAAAGCTCCACCCACTCGTCACCAACAGAGCTCACTGGCAAGAATGATGCAATTTGCTGGATAGCCTGAAAAAAGGGCTGCCATGGTGTAACAGTCAGTAATATAAACCGCATATTTCAAAGCNCGCTTCGCACACGAATAGTCACAAGTTCGAATCCCGGGTCGATATCCGCCTATGTCAACCAAGCCTTCCATACCTACGGGGTCGCTTAATTAGTACCGGACTCGTCTGAAAGGATAGAAGCACAGACCAGATATCGGCTGGTCTCCGCAAGTTTTTGCATGTATAGGCCATATACGCGTTCAATACGCCACTGGCAACTTTCATAGTCCACGATTTTGCGAGCGACAGGTCGCTCGACTGATCACGCCAACGGTCGCTCGATCGGTCGAGGAGGCCGCGCTAGTAATGGGTGCCGCCGAGGACTGTCCCGAGCAGATGGCGTGATCACTCGAGCGACCGGTCGAGAGATGGGCCCGCGACCGGTCGACGACGATTCTGGATGGAAGTCGAGCGCGTGAACGCATCCCTCAGACGGGATTGATGAACGCCCCAGGACATTAACCTCAAGGCATTTTATTCAAAGCCTCGAAGAATAGCACACTTGTCCCCAAAATGTACAAATAAAGACAAGTCCTAAACTGATAGAACCGCACAGCCTCGCACATAAGCCGTAACGATTGATCGAATGTATCTTTAAGATCCATACGAAGATGGTTCATCTCTAAATAGACATGTTTCAAAGATAGGGTAATGAGAACATAGCCAGTCAGGTTGAAAAATCCCCAGGCGACGGTGAGCAGCGAACTAACTACCTCTATGAACCACCGCCTGTGGTGATAGCAGCCGTATTTTATTGTAAACCAAGTCATTGCATGCATGCTGTATGCGCATTCAAACGCCAATACGATTCAGAATGGCTGAGCGAAGCATCCTACAAGGTAACAGCACACCAATAAAAATCAACACAAGAAGTTCTCACATCATCTACGGACGAATGCGCTCTTCAACATCTTACCATCCCATTCATTTGCTCTCTGGGAGTAGTGCTGGTAGTGCTTTGTTAGAGGAATTTGATTCCTGCAACATAATGCAAGTATCGTCGAAACAGGGACGAAAGTTGGTAGAGAGTTTTTCGTCTACACTATGTGTTGTTATGCACGACAACTTCGTACTTGACTGCGAGGAAGACGCGTTTATGGCATATAATTTCAATTATCCTTTCTAGCCCTCTGATGACAACTACGGAACCAACACATCCGATATGAAACTCCCACTTTTTTAGTGATACAGAGGTTTCAGACGGAAAGTGGCATTCAACCTTATGCTTTCGCCCACCGTCATTTTAATGGCATAGGTAAAAAAGGCCTATCATTGTTTGAGAGCTGTATAAGGCAGCATCAAGACATACAGTGGAATATCACCTGCCGAATTTGAGGTGATTGGAAAAGACGGTAAGCTTTCATATTAAGCTACATTGCTACATTGACCGATTATGGCGCCTTGTGTGATTGTACCTATCGGGTGTGGTGCGATTCACGCGCCAATAAAATGAGGTCATCGGATAAAACACGCTAAAACATCATTCTTACCATCATAACGGAAGTTATAAGAACTTATAAGTAGAATAAGTAAAGAAATGACCAACTATGCACGTTTACAGACGGATCGCGTTTACTAGGATCAAAAAATTTGAAGGTAATCTTATTTTGAACGTTTGACTAGTAAATTGTTTACCTATGAGGTGAATTCTCAGTCTCGAAGGGGCTTTTTTGCCATAGTGAAGAGATTTGCTCTATTCATGGTGAAGCCGTGAACTACTGCAAATTTATTTGGTCCATCTCAACAGGAAGGTACTGAAACGACGCTGCGTGCGCGATGACCTCATTATATTGGCGCGTGAATCGCGCGCCCCCCGTACCTATCAAGTACAAATCGAGTAGACCGAACTGTCGAGCTTTAGAGATAAGCTGAGACATTAGAAGTATCCACAAAAACGAAAAAGAGAGTGCATCGCGCGACAGCGACGTCAACAGTACAGCAGTCAAAAACAAAGGGTAGTCTCCATAGTGGACAACCGCAAGGTAATTTATTCATGGAAAAGATGAACCCTCTCACATCATTCAGAGTTTATAGATGCAGTCCTTGTGACAACTCCACTGGTGTGTTTGCAAATTGTTCATAAATGGTGAATGGGCTTATGGAAACAATATGCAACGCGGAACCCACCGTTTAGTAAGTCTCGCATGCGGCGTCAATCTTTGTTGCAAAGGATAGGTAGGGAATTGAAAGAGTGGTGAAGAGTCTCAACGTTCTACATGACACAACATCCCATTCAACCTCTCGATTCACACCTCTTTACTATTTGGAGCCATGCTTAGACGTACTTTCTGTGATAACTGCTCATGATCTGAAGATCTGATGTAGCAACATCAAATCCATTTTTGTCTTACCTCTTAAATCTACTTCCGTTTAATCCGTCTTTCCGTTTAGGACATCTAAAACAGAAAAGTTTATCTCTTACCCTTGATTTGCAACAGGGTACCTTGACACGGATTCAGGAAGTTTGAAACCCTTGAATACGAGCCAAAGCACACCCCAAAAGAGTTTGTGAAGCGCCGACAAGGACGACAAACGCGGTGCACGACAGACCCTACCTTTCGGACTGTGTCATCCTTCCGCTTGCGGTTTCGCCTTACGTATGGTTGTAATCTCATGTTGCTTTCTACAGAGCACTCGTTGCACCTAAAAGGTGAAGATGAAGTCTTTGGCTCAATGAACCCAGTTTTTGTGATGCGCCCCCTCATACAACTTTCACTCAGGATAGCAGTGGTGCAGTGGACGCGTATTTGGCCCGTACAATGATCCTCGATGGTCAGCCAACGCACAAGTCAGCGCTTTTATTCTCCGGAACATGGCGAATATTGATACAGGATTCGAACCCTGGCGCATGCGTGTAAGATAAGGTGCACACATTGAAAATACATTCGCGCCGCTCGCGACGCACTTACCGCCACAAATGTTTGAAAGAACGAAAAAACCATTTACCAACTTTATTTTCCTTGTCATACTTTTCTTCGTCACTAACGCCACAATGTGGAGTGATGTCACCAACAATAGCTTCAGCCAGGTCATGCACCAAACTCATCATAACAGTGCGGACAACATCCAGACCTAAAACAACGCAGTGTTGAGTTCTCTGAGGAGCTCAAACTAAGCATGAAAATTGCCTTCAATTTGTCCTTCCAGAGACATTGCCAGTACGGCCATGCGATACATATGACATGCGACCGTTTCAGGTTCAGGAACCTTAACAGAATGCGTAATAATGACGCGAAAACTTGAGTGAGAAGACATTAAGTCTGTGAGTTGATGCTAGATCTTCGATACATGCCTCCGACGTAGGCTCGCGTGCAGTGAATAAACGAATATTCATCCTTTCGATTAACCCATCTTTGAGCAGCCCCTATGACCCTTTACTTAGCAGCTAGTTAGCAGCTTCTTCCGAGTGGTCGCTTTCAAAGTTGCAGTATTCGACATTTCGTCATGTTTGAGGAGATGAAGCCAACTTATGTTTCTATTTTACCCAAACGCCTACCCTTTTGCTCAACGTCAGCGTTACCACATTGTCCAAACAAGGTCATGTTCGTAGGCAATGGCAGCAGATGACAAAGCTCGCGATCTATCTATTCTCCTTTCCTGTATTCCTTTTGAAGGATTAGGACAACATTAAACTCGAGAAAAAACACTCCATGATATGGAAGCGGGACTTCAGTGGCTATTCATGCTCGGACCCACGATAGAACAAATAAAAAAGTTGCACCGGTAGCGCTCAAGGTTTCCCGCATACGTAAAAAACTCTGAAAGGCATCCACCACTTAAAAGGGAAACAATTCCGTTTTAGTTCAAGTGCAAAGTTGTGTTCTGGGGAAAGAAAACAGTTTAACATAATACTTCGTTTCACTGGCCCTTACCATGAGGCTTTATCCCTTATTTTTTCGGAAAGGCCCAACACCGCAAGAATGATGGGGACATTAGATGAAATGGTATCATGGGAGTAGGGCGGTGGTAGTCTATATCATCATTGCTTGACTGTTAGAGGTCACTTCAGTTTGAGGTTTCAACTCCTTAAGAGTACCTTTCCACACATAATGTATTATATAAATGTGGAAAGGATTCCATCAGACAACGTGACATTTTCCGATCATGTACTTTGGGCAGACGTCAGTCTCAGTTATCACCTGATCACATTCACTGGAAAATGCACATGAAAATAGGTATTCGTCATAGCGTATCACATGAGCTTCACAAAATACCTACATATCAATCGCTCAGTCACATCGAGCAGAAATCAAGTCTTCGACGAATGAGGCAGCTAAGGTTTGATTAGTTGTGGGATCACAAATTGGCCTCTCGAATCCTCATACAAGATACAACCAGAGTAAAACTACTCTACTCTCTCACTAGAGAAGATTTAGGCATCGGCCCCTCACCCCCTTCCACCTCCTCCCTCCCATGGAGAATACGCACAAACCATCACACAGCCACAATCAAGAGAAAACTTCAGCTATGACAAGAATAAAAGTATGTAATATTTATGACTTCATCTTAAGAACTGAAACAAGGCTCCACTTCTAAAACTCACCCCCATCTTCACCCATCCTGTGCGCTTGAGGTGTTTGAGCGAATCTAAAGCGGACAGAAGCTTCATAACATTGTTGAAGGACATAGTCTCTGGAACAACGAAGAATTTGAGAGAATAGAGATTGGGGCATAACTGAACCTATAGGTGTTTTCGTGCTCTGCTAAATCCAGCCAACGGCTGCCGTTTGAATTAGTTTCCCGCGTGCGAATATTTGAATTAGAGCACCAAAGCAGCTTGGTGGGCTCAAAGCGCGCATCTCTTTCCAGGCGTTCACTTTTTTCCCGTGTGAGGGCTCTTTTCCTGCTTCAAGTCCCGTAATGTATTGCTCCTGTTGATTCCACTCCCCGTATCTGGGAGGTCTTTTCGTGGAAATGTGGTAAGGGAAGGGGAGGGGGGTTACGGGGTACGCTTCGTCGCCCATTCACCCAGAACTGTGGACGCAGCAAATCGCGCGGCGAAACTTGTGGCGATTTAACCGGCTTTAGCGCCTATCATTGGGGCCCAAATTTGATGTAGAGTCGATAGGTACGATCATCTGACCGTACTAATGTACTCTACATCAAGTTTGTACCCCAAAGATAGGTGCCTAAGTCGTCCTAAACGCCACGAATTCGCCACGCCATTTGCCGCGTTCACCCAGTTCTGGGTGAATGTTCCGTCCCCCCGTCGCATGCGGCAGGTCAGCTCGCGATACATGACGTAGGTCGCAGTTGTCAGTGGGGCGTACGATTTGCGCTGGTTCACGTCACTCAGCTCAAGGAAAAGATAACACGGACAAGCGCAAATCATTCGCTCCACTGACACTTGGTGGTACTGTAGTGCCATCTTGAGACCGGGTGCATGTGCGCCGTTCAACTCGTTCAGATCGCGTAATCTTCTGCTCTCCTCTCTTCTATAGGTGATACATAGAAGCCCAATCTATCATCTATAGAGGAGAGGAGCAGAAAATTACGCGATCTGAACGAGTTGAACGGCGCGATGGGCGGGGTCGCGCCGCCCATTGCGCCAAACGACCGCCTCCCCTTCAGACCTCAAAGGCTGCTTTCAGAACTCGACGTCGGTTCGTCCGCCCGTCCGTCCGTCCGTTCGTTCAACGCGTGCGACGGCGGTTGCGTGTGCCGCGACCGCGGTTCTAGAATGGTGTTGACAGCGCCGAATACCGATCAGACGCGGTCAACACCTTTCTAGAACCGCCGTCGCGACACGCACGCGTCCGCTGTCGCGCACGCGTTGAACGGACGGACGAGCGGACGTCGAAGTCTGAAAGCAGTCAGTGGGGTACGCCGCGCGCGAATAGACGGGCTAACCTACTTTCGGCGGACGCGCACAACAGAATTTCTCCGGGGTTACATTATTAATTGAACGTTCTCTGCGTCCCTTACAACGTAAAATAGTGAAAAACGAAACAGTGAAAAGTAATCTGAGTGAAGGATATGGGAGTGGAGGAGAGGGGTTCAAATTAGTTAGACGAGTACAGCAGTGAAAGACTGGATTAAACAGAAGTGCGACAACGTAGGCAGAAGCTCTCCTTTGTCGTGAACTTTGCCTTTAATCATCAACTAAAGAGCATTTTTCCGATACAGAGTAAGCTCGAGCACTCGATAGAACTAAATTTCTCTTCGAACAATGTCGTAACCGAATCTGCTGGTAATGAGCTAGCAGGAAGGCTAGAAGGAAGTGGCTTTTTTTT